AATATATTTCTTCAACAGTTCCTGAGATGACACTCATCAAGCTTTTATTAGAGAAATCGCCGAAGCTTGATAGGATGGTGATCAGGCTGAAATGGCCATTAGAGAAACTTGCTGACAAAGGATTTGGGATTTTGATAAAGACGAACAAATTTGAGCGTGCTTCACCAAATGCAAAGGTCATTTTTAAAGCTTTGGATGAAACTGAACTGTGGTAGTTGAGCTTAATGCTGGCTCGCTTACTAGCTCAAAGAGGTCAGGAGTACTTTGAAATCTTGTGATGTGGGCTTCTTGAGACTAGTTTTTTTATTCTCCTGAATGAATGGCGTATAATATTATGCTAGCTATATCTCAGATTTCAAACTGTCTTAAGAAAAGTTTTCTTTAGATAATGCCTTACTTTGTTGGATAGATTAGTATAAAAGCAAGTAGACACAATGCAATGGTGAAAGCACTTAATTGTTACTAGCCATGGACGAATGCTTACTTCTGGTATTGGATGAAATCAAAGGTGTATAGTTCTGAAATTTCATAAAGTGACTTCTAGTGTTCGCGTTGGATTGCATGCTACTACTACATACGAATTACCCCCCATTTGGGTAAGCTTANAAGGTGTATAGTTCTGAAATTTCATATAATGACTTCTAGTGTTCGCGTTCGGATTGCATGCTACTACTACATACGAATTAACCCCCATTTGGTTTAGCTTAAAATAAGATATTTAGTAGATTCCAAGAACTGGGTGAAATCAAATGTGTAATAGCGTTGAAAATTCATATATTGACTTCTAGTGTTCGTGTTGGATTGCATGTTACTACATACGAATTAGCCCCCATTTGGTTTACCTAAAAATTAGATTTTTAGTAAATTTTGATAAAGTAGATAAATGTGTGATAGAAAAGTTGATAAAAATTGTAGATCCAATGAAATGTGTGATTAAAATTAATTATTGACTTTTTAACTCAAATTTATATCAACTTTTTAGCTATACCAAACATGTGCTTAATTTATATGTTAAACGATGATATGAAGGTATCTATTGTCTAGACGTACTCACTATGTACATATTGAAAATCTCTCTCTCTCTCTCACACACACACATTCAGATACGTAAAGTTTAATTTGTTTTTCTTTTATATATGTGCTTATTTATTGTTAAAATTAATAAATTATAATTCTCGTAAAATTAAAAGTTATTTACTTTATAATTTTTCATTTACATTTTTGCATAAAGTGTATTAGAGATAGGAATAAGTTTATCGAGACTTCCCAATTAGGTTGGCCATCCTCATCATCTACCGATTCAGAC